ATGTGAACTTATTTTCTTATAGCTGTGCTGGGTAGTTGGTAAGGTCAGAGAACAGTGAGTTATGGCGACTTCAGCCTTTTAAGAAAACTATTTGCAGTGATCTTTAAAAACAAACAGTTTTCTCTGTGTGAAATAAGTAGGTCTTGGTTCAGTTGCTGGTAAGGAAATGAAAACATTACATATCTGATAACACGGTTGGGATTTTTCCACATAGTTCACAGTCTCTGTGTTAATCTCAGACATTTAAGAGAGTAATAAGAGGGATTAGTTTTGTTCATTTATTCATTCTCTAAAGACATTTCATTCACAGTAGATACATGTATGCTGACATGAAGAGGCTTTGGTGATATGTCAGCAGAGTTCAGAAGTGATTTGCTACACTTATTGGTCTACTCACACCAGAAAATTCTCAGAGCAAAGCCTGCAACTATATATTTCTCCTGAGACCTATGGAATATATTTGACGATTTTTTTAGAGGAACTGAAGTTTTTTAACTCTTTCTCTAACATGTTGTGGTGAAATAATTTGGTGTGAAACCTAGTGAGGAGATTAATTATTGCAAACCAAAGTAACAAGTGATACTAGCTACAGAGGGATTGAAGGATAGCAAAAATAATAAAAAATAATATTGATGCATCAATTATAAAGTGAGTTGCTCTTGCCATGCTTATCAACTTTATATACAACCTTATAGAAACAAGTTTTTAATACACTGTGATTAAAAACCTCCCAGGTTTTGATATTATCCTGTTATGCTCTTTGTTTTATGTTAGGTAGGGCTTTGTGCACTTGTACCTGAAATGTTTGATTAGAAATAGCACAGAAGTGTAATGAATGCCCTTTGTCTGTAGTAGCTTTGTATTTTAAAACCAGCTAAGGAATATCTATCTTTGTACAAGTGTGTATATAGTCATATTTGTCTCCTGCTATCTCCCACTTGATGCTCTCGGACCTTTTTGCAGCATGTCAAGGAAGTTATTAACATGCACTTCAGTTTATAAACATCCTGGTAATTATGTTTCTGATTTCCTACATCTGTGAAATACAACAGACAGACTTTTTGGTTTAAAAATTTAACACCATGTAGGATTATTTGGAAATGAAAGTCGCAATTGAAACTGCGTTCTCAATGTCTTTTAATCTGTACTGAATAGTCTGGAGTTTTTTACAACTCCCAACTTTCATCTAGCACTTAAATACTGAGCCCATTCTGGGCTTCTCAACACATTTCCCACTGGTCCTCCACTGCACCTGCTGTGCTGCCATCAGCCATTAATGTTCAGACAAAGCCAATAGCTTGTTAGGATGTGTCTGAGACATTCAGTAGTGCAGATGGCATGTTCTGTCTGCCTCTACCTGTAACATCTGGCAGCAGTCAGATGTGAGAAAGCCCAAATGAGAAGCAGGGAGATAATGTTTTTAAGTTGCATTGAATAAATAATTTTTCCAGGCAAATTATTGCAGTTTGCTTGAGGTCATAAAGGAAAAAAAAAAACCACCCATGTAAATTGAGGGTAGAATTGGCTTGCTTGGTTGAATTAATTGAATGAATTTATATATTGTGTGGACTTCCAATTCAATTTTTGAGAAATTCTGTAAGCTGGTTTAGAGCCTAACAGATCAATGCTGTAGTACCTAGGGAGTTTTCTCCTTAACTATCCCCAAGAATCTATCAAACTACACACTAGGCAGATGGCTGGGAACAAGTTTTTCTATGCTGTTAGCAGCTTTGCTGTTGGCCTTGATGCAGTTTTAAAATGGTTTGTAATTGTATTTGGGATTGTCCAGATCAGATTCAAATGGCATTTTTTTCTTCTAAATGACCTTGGTGTTGTTATGAAGAGCCTGACAATACAATGACTGACTTTACCATATCATCACATGGACAATAAATATTCAAAAGAAATATTTATTTCTTGCTGAATCAAATGCTTTTTTCCCTCATACATAATCCTTCAAAAAGCCTTAGTGTGGTAAGATGTAACCTAGTAAGAAAAAATACAGCTTGGTAAAAAGTCAGCATGTGTATGCAAAGGCAGAATCTGTGCCACAGAACACTAATAACCTGAATAATTCTCAATCATCTCAGTTTTTACTGGAGACATTTTTACAGTCTTGATTTTTGTCATTTAAGAAAGTGGGAGGGTTTGGCTTCTGAGATTGGCTGAGTGATTTGGTTGTCTTTCCCCTCCACTCTCCCATTTTCCTTCAGTTCATAAACTGTCTTGGTTTTGTCCTGTGAACACTTTTCTTTTGCTCTCTCTGGTTTCAAACTGGGAGCACTGGGAGAGGGCAGTGAGCTCTGAGCATTGGATGGGATGGAACATCCCTCTGGCCAACTCGACTAACCTGTCCTGTCTGTGTCCTCACTCAGCTTCTTTCTTACTCCCAGCCTACTTGTTTGGGAGAGGAAGGGAAGAGAGTGGGAAATAGAGAAAGCCTTGGTGCTTCAGAAAATGCTTTTTTTTTTTTTTTTTTTTCACCTGGCTTTGTTGTGTCCACTTAATTGTTCAGAAACAGCCACAACAATGTTGTGTTATCTACACAGTTTTTGCCACAAACACAAAGCACAGCACCATACGGGCTATTGTGAAGAAAGTTAGTCCTGTTCCAGCCAGATCCAGTATGGATAGGAAACTCTGTAGAAGTTAATTAAGCAAATCTTGTATAGATTTAACAGGGCACTTTTTCCTCCTATGTAGACAAAGCATGCTAGAAAGTGCTGAATTGTGCAGGAGAGGTGAATGAGATTAGAGTGCAGTGGACACAATAAAGCTGTAAGGCCCCACTCTATCCCCCCCAGTTTTACTAAGCTCAAGAGACTTTACTAGATTTGAAAGATGGGTTGTGTCAGTAAATATTAAGATTTGTTGGCCTGCCAAAGAAGGAGGAACAGAATAATATAGCTTTTCATCTACAGCAATTTTTGACAGTGCTAATTAGTGTAGAACAAGTGTGAAGGACTGATTTCTGATATAAAAACCAGTTCCTGGGCAAAGATCTCATCCTGTTACTTGTAAAGCCTCTTGGCTTTCAGAATAAACAATACAGACATTTAGATACCTTTTTTTTCAGAATCTGTACAGTAGAGTCTTGACAACACTAACATAAAATGTGACACAATTATCACCCTTAAGTTTTGAAGAGCTATTTGTAGAAGGGCATATGTTCTGCTAGCATTTATATTATGAAGTTAAGACAGAGATTACTTGTAAGTTCAATGTCCACTTTTTTCATGTTTGCAGTTAAGCTTCTAAGTCATTTTTGAAAACGTAAAGTCATCAGGTAGTTCTTCAGCCCTGTAGTATGAGAATAGAGTCTTAATTAATGCTTCAGCACTAAAAATGCATCAGTATTCTGTGTCTTTTGCATCCATAAAATAGTTGTCTTCATTCTCATTTGAATTGTGATTTTCTGCCTTTTACACATCCTGTTTTCTCCAGAGTAAGAACTAGACAACTTTAGAAACAATGGCAGTCTATCACCTAAAGCAAAACATGCAGATAATTTGCATTTTGAACTGCTGACCTGTTTGCAGGCCTCATTTTCTCTCTCATTGAAAAGCTCCAAAAATGCCTGTTATAACCTTACAGCTGCTAAAAAGGGAGAAGGGAAGTATGTAAAGCAGGGTACCAGACCTCCTCCCGTCAATACAGCTGAATAGATTCAGCTATTGTCAGTCAAGTAGATACTAGTGCTATTACACTTACAAACCAAACATTTCTAATCAAAGTCAAGTGTTTGCCATTTCTCTGAGTGGAGAAATTTGACAGCCTCAGTTAAAAGTGATGGAAATAATAAGACAACAAGCAGGTTCTTGGAAAGGAGAAATGAAGAAAAAGAGGAAATGGTCACAGTGGCAAATTTGGGGTGGGTTGATTTTTTTGTTTGCTTCTATTTCATAAACCATAAACTCTCTCAGACTTGCACAGTGCAGCAGCCAAGAAGTGATCCTATCTGTGCAACAAATCCTTTCCTTGGGTTCAGCATTCTCACAGTGACCAGGACAGGGGTTAGGAGGAAAGGGCACCTGCCCATGCTATTGGCTGGCCCATGCCATAAAGGTGAGTTGTATCCAAAGGAATGAAGTCTTGCCATGAATGCTTAGCAGAGAACAACCTGTGAGTGAGCACAGGGGAGGGGTGAGGTTGAGGCTGCTCAGTGGGACAACAATTCTTAGGTGTGTGTTACTTGTGTGTGTTACTGGTATGTGTTACTGCTGTGCTGGGGCTTTCCAGACACAGCTGGAGTAGCCACAGCTAAGTGTAGATATCCACTTCTGAATGTTGTAGTGCTTTATTGTTTTGTAGGCTTGAAATGTGTTACTTCAAAATGGCATCTATATCCCCTTGAAAGATAAGTCTGCCTATGTAAAATAGGCATACCAGCCACATCCAGAGGGAATAACTAAAAATCTGCAGGCTGGTTACTGTTCTCTTTTATATTAGGTTTAAAACCAAATATTTCCTCTTATAGCTCCTGCCTTTTTTCTCTCTGTGAACTGTTGTGATTTTTTAAAATGAGAAACAGTAATATAATTTGGTTGTGCAGAAAAATACAATATGTGCCAAATGATTGATCACTTTTGGCCTCGGAATCCTCAGGCAACTGTTTTGCAGTACATTTTAGGAGTAGTTTTGAAGATATAAATAGATCATCACAATCTGTAGCAATTAGCAGATAAGAAGAAATAACAATCAGCTCTATATACTGGATATGTAGTAAAGCTGGATTTTAAAACCAAAGGGAGCACAAAATTTCCCCTTGCAGCTCATGATTCAGTCCTTCTGTGTTGGAATGCAGCAGCAGAGAAGCTGATTTATGTACAGTTTAATGACACTTTCTGGTTTAACTTCAACAGTAACTTGGTCCCATTACTGCTGGCCCACTCTTCTCCAGCAGGAAAAAGTGAGAAAGCTTGTGGCTTGAGACAAAAACAGCTTAACAGGTAAAGAAAAAGCTGTGCATGCAAGCAAAGCAAAACAAGGAATAAATTCACCCCTTCCCAGGGGCAGGCAGGGGCTCAGCTATCCCAGGAAAGCAGGGCTTCATCACCCATAATGGCCACCTGACTTTCTATTCTGAGTTTGATGCCATATGGATCATCATATGGAACATTCCTTGGGTCAGCTGGGAGCAGATATCCCAGCTGTGTCCCCTACAAACTCCTTGAACACCTCCAGCTTAGTCAGTGGTGAGATAAGGAGAGGAAAAAGCCTCTTGTCTGTGTACATGCTGCTTAGCAATAACAGAAACACTGCTGCATCTTTAAGGCCATGTTCAGCACAAACCCAAAACATAGCCCCATACTAACTGCTATGGTGAAAATTAACTCTACCCCTGACAAAACCTGAACTTGATACAGTAAATGTTGCCTTGCCCTTGGGTATTTATTTTTGCTTTCCCTCTGAAGGGGAGACATAACTTATTATGAAATAGCTGTCAGTATGGTTCTTAAAAATTTCTAATAGAATTGTTACTCTATTTCTAATAGAGTAACAATTATTGCTTTATGTTTGACCTTGTTACAGTGACATCTGTCAAAGTGAAGACCTGGGATCATTTGTTTACATGACAGAATGAGAGAAGTTTGGGAGTTATGTGCACCAGATACATGCAAGCTTTTTTTCAGACCTCGAACAGAAAGAATAATACCAACTTTCTATTCCTGGAGATGAGCTTGATGGCTTTTTCTTAGCAGGATCTTTCTGTTTCAGACCCAAAGAACAGCTTCTGTGTACGAAGACATGTTTATTGAGCTACATTAGCTGATTCTGCTCAGTTTTCTTGACACCCTGCCTCACTTGGGCATTCATGACTCAGTGGGAACAGCACATTTCTGTGCATGTCTGTCTCTCGCTTAAAAAGCTTGATTGTATTATAGCTTTCTAAAATTGTTTGAATCTAGAAAAGAAATGCTTTCATCAAATATAGTAGAACAGAAGTCAGGTTTACATAAATACATGGCTCATATGCATACATAGGAAGTGAATGTTTTTCGTAAGGAACCTTTTTCATAAATATCTGTCCTGAAGGTAATTTTAGTAGCATGTGATAAGGTTGCCAGTTTCATGTGTTATAATGTGCCCTTTGCCAAGTGTGCAAAAAGAAACGCCATAAGTTATGAACTGATGATTTAATCATGTGTCACTTAGCTACAGCAACTTAAGGGCAGATATCCAGGGGAAAAATAGGCCCCATTTAAGGAGCTTCTGGTAGAATATGGTAAAATCCAGCACTGCTCCAGCCACGGCACAGGGGGAGTTCCAGACTGGGGACTGTGCTTCTGCCCAGAGGCTTTTTGAGTGGAAGGGCGGGGTGTGCACGAGTGCTCACCACCCTCCTCTTGAGGCACCACGAGTTTCAGCCTGTGGTTGATGACGGATGCACGTCAGTCACCTCTGGCACCAGGAACTGCCGTGCCTTTTGCTGTGTGAATATCACTGACTTGGTTTCATGCAATTTTTAGTAAGAATCCTATTTCCTAAGTGGCGTAGTGCTCTCAAGAGGCATAAGCCAGTACATTATTTTATACCAAATTCATCATTCTAATGTGATCATGCAATAAGAAGATGCAGCAAAATTCAAGCATTGAATTTACAAGCTGGTTTTTTTAAATTTTTTTTTCCCCCCTTCAGTAATGAACTGTATAATTAGAATGATCAAGACGCTAAAGAGAACGTGAGCATGTTAACAGCTCTCCAAGTTTGGTCAAAATGATTTTGCAGTTGTCATTGGTTGTTCACATTAGGGAAGATGCTTTTTACTACTTGGTAAGTTTCTTACTGTCACAAAATAGAGCAGAGAAATATTGAAGGACATCATTCAAACCTGCAAAGCAGCAGGGGTTGATGCTAAAGGCCATAGCTGTCTATAACTGTTAAAAATATCAATTCATAACAATGGTGAAATATTGCTTGCTATGGTCAAATTTATCTAAAAAAAATCTTGCGTATTAGAAGATGATAAAATATGCTTTAAAAGAAACCTCTTAATAGTGTTGCCAGTCTTCTGAAAGAGAACACAGGAAATCACATAAATAATTTTTCATAAGGAGTATATATCTTTATTATATTAATAGGCTTCCATTAGAGCAAGAAAAAACATTCAGGATGATCTCAAGGTAGTTTACTTGCTTGACCAAAATCTTACTAAGTTCTAAGATGTGTCTTGATCCAAAGAAACATAAATTTAAAAAAATGTAATCTAAATAATTTGCTTCATAGACGTGAACTGCATTGCAAATATGTTGTTACGTAATAGTTAAATTATTATCTGAGAAGATTATAGAGATCTATCACTCCAAAATGAAAGAAGAGACCTGGCATATTTTTAGAATACAATCTTCTGATCATTAGAGTATTCTTAGACATTAGTCATGAGCAAAAATATGTTTTGAATATAATTGCAACAGCATGAATGCTGATGAAAGATTAAGGTACTGTTGTGAAGCCAGAATAATTACTGATTCATGTAAAACACTGATTTCTTTACAAGTCTGGAAGATGAATACATGTAGTGCATGAGAACAAAAGCTCAGTTGGGTATAGCATGGTGTTAATAAGGCAAAGGTTGTGGATTTGATCCCCATCTGGGCCATTCACTTGAGTTCACTCAATGACCCTTGTGGGTCCCTTCTAACTCAGAATATTCTGAGATTCTGTTTTCATGCTGGCAATCACAGTCATTTCCCTTAGAATTAATGTTTTCTTGAATTCTATTGTAACTATATCCTCCTGTAATTTTTAGTGTGGTGTTATTCACAGTAGCCTAACAAAGTATATTCATGTTAAATGAGCCTGTTTAATCTATCTTCAAAAGACAATTAACTGGTAGCTTACCTTTAAAAAAACAAAAAAAATAATTAACTATGGAGTTACTAACTAAATAGTACCAAAAATCCTATTAGCTTAAATGAAAGTGCAGAAGAGCAAGGCTGAGTAGTTGAGTATTCTATTGGACAGCATCTAATTTAATCCAGTTGAAGTTGGTGCATAATGGTCATGCACTTTTTTCTGAGGATCATCAACAAGGTCAAAAAAAAAAAGAATAGAGCTTGTTCTGTTGATCTGTTTTTTATATCTGTTGATACATCCTGTTTCTCATTTCAAAAATTTTTCAATCATCTTTTAGCCATGTCTGGACCTTGGAAAAACATCCTATAAATGAAGGAAATTAAGCTTTCTGCTGCCCTAGAACAAGGTTATTCCTCCCTTTATTTTTGGCTAAACTATTTTTCTAGGGAACAGAAGGGCATTCTTCTAATATTATAAGCTGGAATAATTATGAAGCCTGCTATACCAGTAGCTTCACTGACTGTAAAAATACTGGCTAATGGTGACAGGAACAGTCTGTGAATTGTGAAGTGGTAGCATATATATATATATATATATATTTCTTGTCGTTTTAGCTGACTGTTAAAGACCCTTGTGCCTTAGCGAGCAGGGTGGTGACCTGCACTCCTGAGACTGCCAGAGAAACAATCCTTGCCTCCTGTATCTGCAGTGAAGCCACTCACATAATCTTTAGTAATATATTACCTTAAATCCAATAAGGCATAAATTCATCAATTAGGTCCATAGTGAATAATCTCTAACCCTCTCAATTCCTCTACAGATGCAGAATGTGTGTGGGTTGATCAGAGTAGCACGTTTGACTCAATCAAAGTATATGCCTTGGTTACTGAATATGGATAACTCCTTGGTAGCTTTCAGTCTGTTCTGTTAATTAATCATCTTGCTAGTTGAAAATTGGTACCTTTTTTAAAATGAAAGCCCTTCATTTTAAAGTTACAGCTCGTTTACTGAAGTGTTGTCATGACAAAATGCATCTATTAAACTTCTAAATTCTCCTCCTACTTGAAAATTCAAGTGGTCCCTATTTCTAAGGACAAGAGTAATTTTCTACTATTGAAATTTTAATCAATTCCATAAAACATAAATAATTATGACAGTGCCCATAGGTAGATCAAATAAGGATTTGTGTAAGAGATTTTATCTATTTCAGTGGACGATGGAGGTAACACTCAATTTTTCTACATTGATTTTTTTTTTTTTAAGTGGCTTCTTGAACCTTATTCTGGGCTGAATCAAAGGGACACCAGTGGACTGACTTTGTGTGTTGCCGTGGGTGATGTTGGAAGTTTGCAGCTGCCCCTTGATACACCCTAATGCTTGGGCAGTGTGAGATTGATCCCAGGATTAGTTCTGTGCTGTCCATTTGCTTGAAGCCAATTTCCATTTTCTTGTCAGAGATGTGTCTTGACTGGGCATGCTGCAGCCAGCACTGTGAAGGCATAAACTGCTCGAAGGGGAAAGAGATGAGCCCAGCAGTCTTTTCCTTAAAGGAAACTGCTATCAGATACTTTGGAAATAACCCAACAAAAACCCCACAAGGTCATTTCCCTGACAATAGGGAAAGAGAGACCCTGGATTTAATTTATTGTTGGAAGATGCTTCCTTCTCTTCAAAGCATAGTCATGCTAATTCTCAGAGTTAAGCACTACTTTTGTTGAACCACATCTTATTATCCATTTATCTGCTGAAATGCTGCACGTGGGATATGAATGCATGTTATTTAATCCCTGATAGGCAGTTACTTCATCCTTTGGTAAACAATTAGATATTCACCTGGAAATTAGCTTTTATTCAAAACAGATTAAGTGAAAATACAAATGAAACTACTCACAGCATTCAAAATAAGTAATATGTGTACTAATGTTTTTAGACTTTAGTGGAGAAATAAGGAAAGCATTTCTACACAGAAGTAAAACTGGAGAGATTACTCTCTCTGCCTGTATTTCTCTGACCTCCTGAGTTGCCTCCCTGACCAGAGTGCTGGAGTGTATCTCCTAGAGAAAATTTCCTTTTGGTAAATTCTAAACTGCTTCAGAAACTCACTTGAAGGCTTCCTTGAGTTCAATTTAAACTCCCTCTTCCTCCGAGGCTTACTGATTTTATGGAAGTGAGAGATGCTTCAAAGCCCTGACAAATGAGAGACTAGTGTGCTACTTTTGGAGATGCAAACACTGGCATAGCAGCCCAGAGGCCATGACCAGCAGTCAGATCA